CTTATTGACTTGGGTGTGGTTTGTAATCATGACCGACCAACCAGGACTGATTTTGCAGCAAAGAGCTCAAAGGTAGCGGTCCATCTATACAAGTAGATAACGGATATAAAACTGGAGCCTGTGTGGCTCCACTAAAGCTGCTAAAGAATAAAATGAGTAGCTCCTGAACATTGTAATTGTATAAACACGTGGTCAGTTGTTATAGCAACACTCGACTGGTTTCCATGGTATTTAATTGAATGTTTTTATTAGTTTTTATCACCTCGAATATTAGCAGCCGCGAATACAACACGACCTCCGATAATACATGTAATATTTGACACGTACAGTACATGTAGAAATTGTATTGCATTGTGTAATAATGTGTTTTTTTCTGTTTGACTTTTAATGATAAATAGCAATAGTACTCTTGGAAAATGAGTGCTATAACACGCGCGCACACACACACACACACACACCACCTTGAACCAAAATAAAAACAACAATATCAAGATCGAGGGATTATTCGTTTCCCTACAAAATTCATTTGCTTGAAATACATAACTGGTAAATTGCCAATCGTCAAAATAAAACTTTGCGAAATTAGAGCTCTCTATATGGTAATGTGGTATCTCCATCAACTCACGGCTTGCTCTAATAATTCTCTGGCCTCCAGGAGGTTATTCGTGTGATGGTATAGCGTCATTCCCAGCTGTAACTTGACTCTAGCTTCAACCCGAGGAGCAGGAGAAAGAGAAATGGACGCCATCAGACATCGCACGGCTTCTTCGATCTTTTAAAAAAATAATAAATAAATAAAAAGCTATTATGTATATACACAATTAATATGGGTGTTACCAGCTATAATATAATTAATAATAACAAAATCGGATTTAAGAAATATTCTAAAGACTAAAAGTACTACAAAGTAATTTATCACGATTATATTATAATAGCTTTATATTGAGCACTCAATTCACCTGTTGTGGGTTTTGGCTGAGGCAGTAATCCGCCATTTCCACAAGTACAGACACGACAGAGCTGTCAGGCCCACCGTGACCAATCTCACTGCTAATAGACTGGGCCATGTCCTTAGTCTCGTATATACTACTAAAAGGACTCCATTTACCACTTTTGGAGGCAAATTATAATATGCAAGCAAGTAGGAGCCAGCAAAATTTCAATATTACACAGGGAGCATCCGAATAAGTACAGTAGAAATATTTTCATCCGGTCAATAAGAATTTCAATATTACGGAGTAGAAATCGTTAAATTAGACAAACCCACGTGCTCTCTCGTGGTCAAAATGGCTTCCCCTCAGAAGGTCAGAGCTCTCCCTAACGTCCTGATTACTGGAACCCCCGGGACTGGTAAGACTCTAACAGCATCTCAAGTTGTTGAGAGGACAGGAATGAGCCATTTTAATGTGAGTGAGCTGGCTAAAGAGGGAGGGCTTTATGAAGGATGGGACGAACAGTTTCAGTCATATATATTAGATGAAGATAAGGTAAGGGGATTAGTAGTATCAATAGACATCAGGCTAATTAATCGATAACTCATTAATTATTTATTGTGGATGTGGAAATTTTAATTTATTATGATTCCATCTAATAACTAATTTATGAGTATTTTGTCTCAATGCATGTTTTTATTTTGAAAAAGATGTATATTAATTATTATAAAGTGTTAAAATTAATTATATTTGTTAGCCCAATCTAAGCCACATGTCATACTCCAAGTCTTCTCTCTCTCTCTCTCTCTTTTCTTGTTAGATAGGTTGTTGATGAGTTGAATGATTCTCTTGTCTCAGGTGGTTGTATTGTTGAGTATCATGGCTGTGATTTTTTCCCCGAGAGATGGTTTGATGCAATATTTGTCCTGAGAACAGACAATGCACTTTTATATGATCGTCTTATGAAAAGGTAAAATTTAAATTTCTTGATATATATATATATATATATATATCAAGAAAACCATAGACTTTAGCCTATGATTTTTTCAAAATTGGCTCTGAAATTACCCCCATTTTTATTAGATTTTTGATGCATATTGATGTCCTTATGCTGTATAGAAAGTTTGAGATGATTCCGACTAAAACCTTTTAATTTACGGCCATTTTAAAAATAAGTCAATTTCTAAAAAATTTCCTGTACTATTATAGCCGATGCTTTTCTCCAAAAAATGGCTGAAAAATTACCCCCAATTTTTATAAGTGTTTTCAATAGCAAATTTTGGAAAGAAAGGCATCAGCGTATGCCTTTATATCTTTATGCTAGTAGAATGTTTAAGCTGATTTAGAGCTCAATTTTTGTATTTTTTAACGTAGCAAAAAAGCATAGATACAGTAAATGTTCAAATAAAAGCCTGGCTTGAATAAAGCCTGGTACTATACTAATGTCTTCGAAGTATAGATATGCATATTTTACTCAGTATAGATGCCATCTACTTCAGATTGTTCCAAATGGCCTAATTTGTTAAGTTGAATTTTTTGACCCTGGAGTTGGGGGGGGGGTTTGAGCCCAGGTTTTGGCATTTTAATTTTATTTTACGCAATTTTTTTGCCTAAATGCCCAGGCTTTCATTTACGGTAATAGCCAGAGGAGGTTGATCATGCGTCATGTGATGATGTCACTTCCTCTACCTACTCTCCCTTCATAAAAATGGAGGATTCTCTCTCTTTTCACTTTAGCAGCAGTTATCTCACTAATAATACCTGCAATTGACTCAAAAACGTCAATGCAATGAATTTATCCAGTAAAAAGACTAATAAATATAATACCATTTTCTCTTTTTAATACAGTAAAATTTTCTTGAGTTGTAACTGGTCTCAGGCTTCTTTCACTTATCACATTTTATAGATAACTAGGAGTTAGGCTTTGCAAACTAACAGTAAGAGTAAGAATAAGATCTGCACTTTTTTCAAAGATGTAATGTCTTTGCCTTTGCTAGAAAAGTGTGGTATAGCCATCTGAGACAGAGGAAAAGTTTATGCTACCTGTAGCTGACTGTGCAGCATGTATAATGTTTATTATTCTTTTAACTAGATGCATTGAAGTTTTTGAGTCAATTGCAGCTATTATTAGTGAGATAACTGCTGCTAAAGTAAAAAGAGAGAGAATCCTCCATTTTTATGAAGGTAGAATAGGTAGAAGAAGTGACATCATCACATAATGCATGACCAATCTCCTCTGGCCAGCTGGCCAGGTAATAGCCAGCCAATTTTTATCACCCCACCTTAATGAGATTCATTATCTTAACTATTTGCTGGCTAAGCATTTCAGAGTTTAGACTAACTTTTCTAAGAAACATGTCTTCTGAAAGAACTCTCTCCCTGAAGTGTCCTTGTGGTTATATTAAACATGATGTCATGCACTTGGGCAAGTGGGTTGACTACAGCAACAGAGTTATACAGTTTTGCGGTGGCTTGTGGCTTGTTGATAGATCTGGAAATTCTGTTAGCTGCAAGAAGTGTGGCGATCAAGTTTCAAAGATGGACTTCTACTGCTCTTTCTGTAGCCGTAATACAGCGATTGGGGTACAAGAGAGGGTTGCAAAAGCTGCTGGAAAGATTGAAATTATGCAAATGTCCATACACAAGACTGTTATATTTTCATGCTGAGATGGACTCTTTCTAATCTATATTTGTATTTTTAGAGATTTAGACTGTGTTATTTACAATGTAGTAATTTCGTCTTTTTATGTTTGACATTAGCAATAATAATGAGTTGCATAAAAATCAAGTGTAAAATTGTAGTAAATTGTGCGTTTTGTTTGCCAAAATTTTAACCTCAAGCAATGGGCCAGCCAGATTTTTGCTCTCAAAATTTTGTAGCTATAGATTGTCTCACTTCTGTGCATCTAGCAATAAATATCATTAACAATCTACCAGTCAAAGCAGCCATCATGTTGTTTGATAGATGTACAGTGCTAAATGGGCAAAATGCTTTATTTTCTCAATGAAAGCAAAGACAAAATTGCAGTATGATAAGTAGAATTATACAACAAATCTACAGTGAGCATTTCTGATTATCAGAACTTGCATTTTAAAGGAAAATTGGAAAATTTCTTTTGTTCTGTACATCTTAATGATATTCATTG